CCATTAGGTCTTTAGTCATGTACATTGTATTCCCTTATATATAGGGCTCAAGTGAATGAATAAGATGGGGTTTTTAACGGCGTATCTCTTCTTTCTTATTCTTCTCTAATCTTTTCTTTGTTTTTCTATCTATCTTACACATGGATCTTACATATTGTCAATATATATTACAACACGTTATCAGCACGAGTACTCTACCATCTAAGCAAACGGCGGCAACATAAAGATGAACGGACAATCAAGATAACATTCAAGAATAGATGTATGCCCTAAAAAAGAATCGTGTCTTTTCTGTCAAGGTAACATTCAAGATCTATTCAATATCAATAATAATTTAATGGTTTCATCAATTTTAGTTATATTTATCTATCTCCAAAATAGTGAATTGATGCGGAAGCCCAAAAACAAATTCATGGTTATTGGAATAATTAAATTCCAAAAAGTCAAAAAAAAAAAAAATTATTTTATTTGTGTGTTATTTGAACCAAGCGATTGGATACGAATCAATAAAAAAATTTCAGAATAAAAGTACATGCAGCCTAAATTCATGGCGTCTGATTAAGCCAAAGATAGACTTTTGATATGGGTAAACCAAATTCATCCAAAAGTACACGCAGCCTATTATTTGACATAGTTTTATGACATGTTAGATTTATAGGGAAGACTATTGTGCATCGATTATTGTACACGCATCGATTGTCAAATTCATAAGCTAATTTATTTTAATAATGTTCTGATAACTAATTATTTGTTGGGATTTTTATGAATTGGTTGTGATTATTTGTTGGATATGAATTTGTTGGGCAAATTTTCTATCACATGCTAATTATTTTATGCATCACTCTCACATTTCTTGCCAATTATTTGTTTCCTACTAATTATTTGTTGGCAATTATGAATGTGATTTTTATGAATTGGCTTGATGACCTTGATTGGATTTCTATAGATGTTGTATGTGATAATTAGTCATTATTGAACTATTGCATGTTCGTTTAAAAATTATAGACTGAAGGATGTATTATATAATCTGCAAGATTTTAGCTTCACTGACATGATTTGAAAATTTTGAAAAATATTTGTGTCTAATGTTTTTAGTGCTACAAAAATTCATGTGATCTTTTAAGTATGTCTATTTTGTATGGGAGAAAGATTTTATATAAAAAGTGGTGGAATTATTGGATATAAATTATTTATGTTGTATAGCTCAATTTATGATCATCTTTGTAATATGGTTGGATGAGAAGATACAATTGTGCAATTTTTGAAATAAGCAATACCCAAGCCCGAGGATGCTCCAGAATCGTTTCGACTGCTCGTTCGAGAACTACGATCTTTAGTGAAAAAAAGATGTTAGAACAAGGGTGGGATCAAAGGCAGCTCAATCCGTTGCTTGTTGGATCGACAAAGTTGAGAAGAATATATAGTTAAGAAACTCCCCAATCTCTTGAGAATCTCCTTGCCTTGATCGGTTTACCGTTGATGTGCCCCTCAGCGACCATCAAATGGTTGGATGAGAAGATACAATTGTGCAATTATGAAAATGATGGAGTATTATTTCAAAAATATTTATATCTATCCAAATATATAAGATTCGATTGAATACTAGTAGTCCCAGAAGGACACTAATATTAAACAAATAAGGATAGAATGATTATAACAGTGCATCGGGTATCTCTAAGATGGAAATTAATATTTCATTTATCGATAGCATGTAAGTTGACAATGAATTTCTTATATATTCCCTGAAGGATCTTCTATAAGTTAATAATAATGTTTTTATATACTCCCCGATGGATCATCATCGACGTACGTATCTCCCATAAATTCAAAATAAAGTTTTGGTATACTCCCTGCAGGATCAACACCAATACAAGTATCAAAATAAAATAATGACTACACTGTGAGTAAGTCTTGATGACTAATTTTGAATTAAGATGATATTGAATATTTTATGATCTGTTATGAACAGTTTGTATTCCTGAAGTAATACATGAGAATAATGAAATCCAACCAAATCAATATTCATGGACACAATATATAACAATAGTTTATTGAGATTGTATTAATGCCAGAAGCACATATATAAAAGTCTAATTGTCATATAAGATATCTGATAGAAGATTGTCTCTCTTCTATATGACTATATGTTTCATTGGTTTAATTGTCTTATCTGAGCATCTCTTGTTTGATATGCATCATATCATTCTTCACATTACTTGTTAAAATTTGATAGTGATAACACACGTATGATATGTGTAGCAGACATTATCCTATGGGTAAGA